TGATCCCCAGTGAGCTATATCTGGCACTTTCACCTGAGCTCCAATTCAGTTTGTCTCAGGCAAGGAAGGAAGCATATGTGGGGTTTCCACATCCAGGCCAAGACCTTTCAGGAGGGGAAGGATATTACATCATCCCACTGCTGGGATTTTGGAAAGCCTGGTATGTAGGCAAGCACTGAAAACACTTGCTCAGCCAAAAATATATGGAAGATAGCTAGGAAAAGGCCTAGTCTGAGGATTATAAGAAGCCTCCCCACTAAGGGCTGTGAAAATTTCTCAATTAAAAATAATTTAAGCTCAATGATCCCTCTGCTTCCCCTGCCAGTCAAGGGAGATGTTTCTTTGACCACTTCAGGCTGCTCTTTGGAGGAGCATCTCTCCATTAACCAAAGAGTGATGCATGACACATCCCCAGGCAATGCTGAAGCTCTCACACCCACAAATATGGGCTGAAAAACAAGGTCCTGCTTGGCCTTGCCCCGTCCTGCTGCTCCCCTCCCTCCTGGTCCATGCCACCCATGCAGGGATGCTCTTTGCCACTTTCCACTACAGCGTGGGCATGGTTGCAGCTCCCAACCTTTCACATTCATTTCACTGCCGTTACTCTGGAGAATGAGACTTAACAGAAATAATAGTGGCACATTGTGCCTTACCTACCCTTATTTTGTGCATCCTCAGGAACTCTTTGAAACATGGGTTTTATCTATTTTAAAGATGTATCAGTCCTGACCTGCCCTTGAGCACTGTATTCCCAAGGTAGTCAAATCTCATCCAGAAAGACAAAAGTACTGGGTCATACAGGCTATAAAAGGGCATGTTCTGCCTTCTGCTGTGTCCTTTTGTGCTGTTCTGCTTATGCTCCTGTTACATCTGTTACATTAGGTTTCAGTTTTGTACAAAAAGATGCTGGCAGCCCTGCACTTCACCCCTGTGCTGGAGCAGGCACGACTTTCCCGAAGGGTCCCAGCCATCTCTGCCTGTAAATCTTCTCCTGTTCTCATGCCTTAACACATGAAATGTAAGAGTACAGTAGGTTATATTACTTTTTTTTTTCTTTTTTTCCTAAAGGACAGAATTAAAAAGGAACCCATCTTCTTATCTCACCAGCTCTTGTGTTTGTATGTCAGATTTCTGGCAGGAACCCAGAGCTTTGTCCTCTTGAAAAGCTACTGAGCAGCATCCTGCATTATTATAGACATTTCCCTCAATGACCAAAATACTGCCGCAGCTTTAGCTCATGATGGAAATATCCATCGTGCTCATGCACTGTGGCTTCAAACAGATTTAATGCTGTGGCTCTGCAGAGTGGAAAACTGTATCTGAGCCAGCTTAAAATGATAACACTGACATACATGGCTGGAGATAAGACCTCGTCTGAAATTGGTCCCTCTATAGAAAATATTGTGGGTAACAGTTGTTACAACCGTTATGAAAATACACTTAAAAGGGCTTCTTTTTTCTGAGGATCTGTAAGATGGGGCTTGACTAGCAGCTGTAGGTGTCTGAGTTCAAATTTAAGAAGGTGGCTACAAAACCCATCAGTCTGAGCTTCCAAAAGAAGCCAAACTTTCCAGTTTTCAGAGTGCTCATTTTCTCTCTCAAAGGTGAACTGTGTGGCTAGCAAACTTATTAAAGGGATGAAAGAAAACCTAAAGGAGTAGATAAATAGGATAAACAACTACTTCCTAAAATGCATTTGTAGCAGGGATTGTCTAAGGCCTTTCCCATAGGAGCCGGCTGCACCACCTGCCAGTTGCAATCCCTTGCAGTAGTCTTTTACTGACCCTTGAAGGTTTCAGACTTGCAAGATCCCATTTACCCTCATCTCAGCTGGTTCCAGCTCTGTCACCTTCAAGACATTTTTCTTTTCCTCCAAAATTTAGTGGTAAAATGAGGGACTTGTATTTTTTTCTTCCTTTTTCCTCTCCTAATTAGTAGCTGTCTGTAGAGAACAGTTCCTTCACACACCAGCATATTGAGCTAACCAGTCTGGAAAAAAAGTGCAGGCCAGGAAAGAGATTGGAATAGACAAGCAGAAATAAAGAAATGACCAGTGTTTGGTCACCCGTAGAACTGAGTGCTGTAAAAAACCCAGGCAGGTAGAGCTGGCTATGGTTGTCAGATGTAAAGGGTAAAGCAGGATACATGACTGGTGTTTAAAATGAGAGTGCACTTTTCAGTAGTATCACTGCAGCAGAAGGGAACTGCTGCCTTTAACGTGTAAATTCATCACCTGGGCAAGGGTTTCCTGAGGAGGCTGAGGATCCTATGGATCTGCCCAGATGCTGTAGGTCCCTTGAGAATCCCTGTTGTGTTTCTGTGCTTGTTTTTGAAGCATTCAGTGAGCCCATGCCAGCATGCCATATGAAGCGAACTAAACCACCCGCATATTCCTTCCTGCCAAAACTGGTGTTTGTCTTCCAGTGAGCCTTGTCTCCCATTTCCACTTGGCTAAGACTAATTTAACATAGTTAACAGCCTGTTTTTTTTTAATTATTATTATTTATTTATTTTTATTTTTATTAACAGGCTTTACACCTTACTAAGGCTTCACTGTATTTTAATGGATAAATATTTTACCAGAGCTGGCTTCTTTTGCTCTGCAATTGTTTTGTTTTTCTTTTACTTCATTTCTTATTAATGAATCATTTCATAATGGGCCAATGGACAATGGAAGTCTTCAAGTAGGTTTTTAAACAGGTTTTGACATTGCTTTTGAGTTGTTCTGGGCTAAAAATAATACAAGCCAGCAGGTACAGAGTGGAGAATAGTGTCCTCAATCCCTTAAGGACCTTTTACTGCATTTGTTCCCCAGAGGGAACCAAACAGAGAAAGTAAAAAAGGCTTCAATTCCAAGCATTCCCTTTGCTAAGCTGTAAATGCCACTACCTTTCTCAGCTCAGAAGAGAAAAATTGTTATCCTGTTTATGATGAGAAAACTGGGAGGATGCTTTCCTCCCTGTTACATGAGGTCGATGTAAGACAAGAGATAGGCACAGCTTGCTTACGCTCATCTAATGAGGGACTGAATTATGTGCTTGTATTTCCCCATGAATAATTTAGAAATGGTCTTCAGCATCTCCAGCCACCAACCCCTGCTAATCCCCAACTTCATCCTGAGGCTCTTGAGTGTTTCTGAGTGGCTGTCACTTAGCCATTTTCATAGGTGACCTTCTTCACTGAAATTCAGTCCTTTAGTTCTTCAGCTATGGGAGAAGGAGCCAAGAGCCAGCAGCTGGATGCTGACCCATCCAGATTCAAATGAGAAAACAGGAGCTCTAACAGCAATGTTAACCTGAACAAAATACCTCTGGAAAAGGGGTACGATGTGTCCCTCTCTCTCTGTGCTCACAGCCTGTGTTCCTGAAAAGACACGTGGGAAGTGTGATGAGCATATCTGACACCATTTCTGTGATAATACAAAATCCTTCATTCCCTTAGGGTAATCCACAACAGGGCAATATTCTGAATGGATGTGAACAGAATTTAGCCCTATGTCTTTTGAGAGCAAGAAGCAATGTTTGCAATGACCACAATGCCACTGAGACAGAAATCATGTTGCAATCATACCTGTACAGCACTGCAAAGGTTATCCAGAACTGTGTCTGAAAAGCTGATACCAGAGAAAATAAGTGTGAAGGTAACTTTCAGGTTAGGACCCCTTGGGCACTGTGCTGGGAATACAGAAACAAACATTATTTGCGTATAGTCCCTTCACTGCAATGGGACTCTAGCATTATTTAAACTCCCTTTCTTTTGAGATATATTTTCTTGAGTCTGGGTTACAGAAATAAATAGAAACTACTGCTTCAAATGTCTTAAATTATACTTTTTCTTCAAATGTCTTAAATTATATTTTTTTTTTCAAAGGAAAAATATCAGCCAAAAACCTACATCTGATGGTCATTTTAAATACTTTGTTAAGTGACTGTCAGTGTTCACCAACAGCAGATATTAAGCATGAACAGCATTGCCCTGTATTGTTCAACTGAATCTCAGTTTTCATGATATGTATTTATAATGTGTTTGTTGGCAAAAGAGAACATATGTTCCTGATTTTTCAAGCTATATGTGGATTTTTTAAATAAATAAATTTTTGTAACAACAAGCCCACACATCTACTTGCTTGCAACAATCCAAGGGCTGGTTACTGCTAAGCAGAAAAAATACTGTTAAAATTCACCTTGGTTGCTGTATTTCATAGTTTGACAATAAAGGCAGCAAACAGTAACAGTTGTAAACTTAAATGCTCCTCAGAATTAGAAGCAGGCACCCAGTCTGAAATAGTTTAAAAACGTGGTGTAGAGCAGACAAGAATGAATGCCAGCCTGTCTCTGGCACTGAAAGCACCGTCTGTCTCCCTAGCACTGCACTACCCCAAGGTGTGTTTTCAGCACTGTTTGTAGCATTAAACAGGATTTGGTCACCCCACTTCGTTACAGCTCGGGAACTGCTTCCTTCAAAGAACAGAGGCCATGAGATGAAGTGCAAAATGCCACAGGTGCAGCTTAAGCCAGAGACAGTTCTGCTAATTTCTCTGATGGGGTTGAATTTAAACCACTGGGTTGAACTTCCAAGGCTGAAAGATGGTAATTTGCTTCAACTAAACATGCTTCCTCTGAAAATTCCTAAAAACATGGAATGTATGGAATGTACCTACTGCTTTACATCACTGTTATTAGGTACAATCTCTAATTTGTACCCAATTGCATTTTAATGGTCTCGTTAAACTAGCGTTTTTTATTTTCCCTTACAATATCTTTTTAGCATTAAATCTGTAACACTGTTTGCAGTAAGCTAACAGATTTTCATAAGAATAATTTTTTTTTTTAATAATTATTACACTTTAACTATTGCAGAAGTTTACCTTGCATCTTTTCAGTTTTACACAAAGCCCACCAGCAAATCTTCATAAATTTCTTACTTTGGTATTTTGCAGGCAGGTGCATAGCGTGCTCCCTTGCATTGCCCACAGTTCTGTTTATTATTTTATTTTGCAGTTCTTTCCGTATGGAGATGCTTCAAAGTTTGCCCAGCATGCCTTCCGAACCTTTGATAAAAATGGAGATGGGACCATCGACTTCAGAGAGTTCATTTGTGCACTGTCCATCACCTCTAGAGGCAGCTTTGAGCAAAAGCTAAACTGGGCCTTCAACATGTACGACCTAGATGGTGATGGTAAAATTACAAGAGTGGAAATGCTGGAAATTATAGAGGTGAGAACAATGTGGCACTCAAAAAGAACGTCTGAACATTAGTGAAGTTTAATTACTCTTTTACGTACCTTTTAGACTTTAAGCACATGAGACTTTGCACTGTATCATTAAAAAGTGCATCTTATATATATATCCTATACTGACTCATGCCTATGTGGTACAAACACACTACCATTTTAATAGATGCATAATCTTTGAGAATTGCTGCAATTACATATGTGCATATAAGCTCTTAAATATCAAGAGGTAAATTTGTTTTCTGATGAATGGATTAAGCATAAAAACAGCAGAGCAAAGGATTTACAAAGCTCATCTCAAAACCACTTGACACCCATGAAATTACTGTTTTGTAGCTTGAGTGGCTGAAAGCTTAATGGAGATTAGCTTTAAACGATTGCAGAAATTTACAGGGATAACACCACAGTATTTTAAGTGAGCTTTCACAGGTGGGCTTTAAGATTTAAGACAACCGTCATATATAAGGGGAAGCGTAGTTTACCTGACTTTGCTCACACATACGTATGGAAAGCTTTTGAAAGGAGGTAACTTCTAAAACCATTTATTCATAGTTTATGTGGGATAGCTCAAGGGAATGACGAAAATGAAACAAATAGTTCATCCAGGGAATAGGTTACAAAAGCTTTGCACTGTAAAACAGAAAACCAAAGAAATTTACTCCAATATACAAAATGCAACCATTTAAAGAAACATTTAAAGAAGAAAGGAAAATCCATTCTTCCTCGTTTTAAGTGAAAGAACATCAGATTCTAAGAAAAAGAAAAATCCTCAGGGAAACTGGCTATCAGTTTATTGTTAGAATATCATTCCAGAATTTGATCAGGAAAAAACAAAAATCTAGTTCATCGTATGTTGAGTTTTCTATGTGGTTTCTTCCCAAAGGCCATCTACAAAATGGTGGGCACTGTGATAATGATGAAAATGAATGAGGATGGTCTGACGCCTGAGCAGCGGGTAGACAAGATCTTCAGTAAGATGGATAAGAACAAAGACGACCAGATCACACTGGATGAATTCAAAGAAGCTGCAAAGAGTGATCCTTCCATTGTATTACTCCTGCAGTGTGACATTCAAAAATGAGCTTGTGTACAATGCATCATAGACTGCACAGAAGTTTAATGTTCCATTCAGTTTGCAGCTATTTCCACACACACAAAAATTTGCTTGGACTACCTATAAATGGACTTGCTTCTTGTGTTTGAAACACTTGTGTGCATGAGAATGTCATTTGCTAAAGAATTTTAAAAGTATATATTATAAAAATAAACTGCCACAACGTGATGTGTGCACTGTCATTTCATAACAGCCCTATTCCTCTGAAGCCTGTGCAGCAGTCCTGTGCTGCAGTGAATATTATTTATTGTTCATGTTTTACTGATGCTAGCTCTGTGTCTCCTAGACTGAGTAATGTTAGTGACACTGAATTCCCACGGTAATGTTAACTGTTTATTATAAACCATGTCACCATTCTGCTGTAAAGTAGTATTGGACAGACAGAGGGAAGACTTCCTCAGTTCTTGAGTCTGATCCACACGTGCTTGTATTGTCAGTGGATATAAATGTACTTCATTTGCATGCCTTTTAGGTTTGCCTTAATTCTTACCTCATTTGCATCCCTTCAATCTGGAAAGAGCTATGTCAGAGGAATGCAGTATAAAAAAGCAAATCCTGCTAAAATGATCCCTTTAAAAGTATATATAAATATATATATATAATGTTTAAAATATTGTTTTATTGGAAGTTTAAAGGTTTTATTGGAAGTGTATTGATCTTTGCCTGAATTTTCAAAAGCTTCCACAGAGGTTGCAATATATATGTCCCAAAATAAATTTATAACATTTGACCTTTTCCCCTAATTCTTATTTCACATCTTCAGCATGGTAACAGGAAAAAAAAAAAGTTCTATCTTTAATTATGTGTCACTGTACTACTGGGAAATATATATATATTTCATTATGAAAGCATGAAGAAAACTTCTTTTCACTCACTTGGTAGAAGTCATATTATACAAAACCAACAGTTGTAGTGCTTGTGTTACTAACAGAACAGCTGTTTATCCTCTAAGATGTTAATGCTAAGATTTAACAGTATACCTACAAGACCTGTGCTTACATAACTTTTTCAGCCAGCTGGAAGTCAAATACAGTTTATTTGATTGGCCTAAACCTGGTCTTTTAATGGTTTCCCCAGAAAGTAAGAGTCTTTCCTATTACAGTATGATATGAAACTAATACAGGCATAAAATAAAGCGATATTATCAAAAAATTGTTATTGATAAATTAACCTTACAGCATGATTATCGAGAAGAGGTAGTCGAGAGAACCCCCTTTTGTCCTCAGTTCTACATGCAATCAAGTTTGTCTATGCCGTGGCAAGTATGAGTTTTGCACAGCCCTAGGAAAGCATGGAGAACTATCAGACTGCAGATAATCTTTCCTATACACAAGGTTTTCCAGTTGCTCCGTTGCTTTAAATAAAGGCCATTGCTCGTAGGTAAAAAAAAAAAAAAAAAAAAAAAAGTCTGAAAAAGTCTGAAAAGCTCACTACTGCATGTTTGATATTTCTTCTTTGCCTTATGAAATAAGACAGTACTCCCAGTAGCTAAAAATCAGACAATAAAACATGACAAAACGAATCATACTCTCCACTTTCAAATATTAAAAGTGAAGCTCATCTTAAAATCGAGGGAAAAACACCACGCTGCTTAACACATTTTGCTAACAAACATATTTCAGGGGGGAGGGAGGGGAATCAATCATGACCTCAACCACAGCCATCCTCTCCTATTTAATTTTCCTCATATTCCAAACAACGAAGTGTAGAAGTTTCAATTACATTATTTTTTAAAAAACAGAATTTTACTTCGCCTACACAGGTAGTATTCTTGCCAAATTAAATAGCAGCATACTTTGTATGTTTGGCTGTAACTTAAAAATTCTGAAAAATCTAACATACTTCTGAGTACGGCATGCCCATTGTTTCTACCTAGTCTTCAATTACTAATGGTAGAGAGGATGTTGAATAATCCTGGGATTTTATGCATCTTTTGCTTCCACATACTTATTAGGGCATCAGTACATCATTCTGCATTTCCCTGCGCCTCAAATTTATGTAGCTTGACAGGCTCCATTTAATTTAATGCGTCCTTTATTGACTGCATTGCCATCCAAAACGGCCAACAGCTCAAACAGTCTCAAATGTAACATCATCATCTCCAGGTAGTTGGTATAGTAAACCCAAAGAACCAAGAAAAAGATAGCTTTGAGAGCTTGGTAGAATCACTGCAAAAATAAGTGTATCCAAGCAACTGTTTCAGTAATTGTTTATTTAGAGCTAATCCTCTATCATGAAACCAGTTACTTATAATTATTATACAGGCAAGCACACATTTTCATCAAGTACAATGGCATATTCGAATAAATACAGGATATGATTTGAATCAAAGACCAGAGTCATTGCCAATTCCTCCAATATTTCAAGTAAATCTGTAGAAAACTTGAGAGAAATCTCAAGTGTTAGCTCAGTAGGAACGGGGTAATTTTCCTTAACCTCTTTTCTCTCCGCAAGCCATTATAAAAATAATAATGGAGATAAACATTTTTCTCCCTCCTGCCTCTGCACTCTTGCTTATTTTTTTGGCAGCTAAAAAAAAAAAAAAAATCAGGAAGAAATAAAGCTTTACAGTTGTATCAGTTCTCACCGTAAAAGGGTCTGAAATATACTCCAGTTCCAGCATAAAGTCAAGTCAAACTGAACAGGTGGCTCAAGACCACGTAAGAGTATTGCAGACTCACCCCAAAACACAAGCTGGGTTCACATTCCAGAAAAGCTTTGCCAAGTATGCAATCTGCATATGTCCTCCCATGCTGTTTTCACATGATTCTAAACAAGTTGTAAGTATCTTCCATTTCATTCTATTCACAGGATTGTGGGATCCTTGAGTTTGGTAGGAACCTCTGGGGAACTCTAGTGCAATCCCTTGCTTGAAGGAGGTGCAGCAGTATTCAGAACCTGAAAGCCTCCAAGGATAGAGGTTCTACAACCCGTCAGGACAATATGTTTAAACGCCTCATCCTTATCGTGAACAACCCCTCACATGATTATCTAGCCAGAACATCCACATTTCAATGTCGGGCCACTGTCTCTTGTGCCCCTGCTCTACACTTCAATGAAAAGCCTGGCTTTGTTTTGTCAGTAACCTCCTCTTAGACATGGCAAGCGTGCTGCAAGTCTGGTGTTGGCCATTACCCTAGGTTTTCAGAAGTAAACATTCAAAGTCTTTAAAAGATCACTAGATTTAATTCCTAAAGTTAGAATGCACCAAGAAAACCAACTGTAGTTCTAGCCTATTTCCTTCAGTTCTCAGCTAGTTTTCATATTTTAGAGATAGATACCCACAAATTTAACAAATACTTGCGTAAAAACTAAACAGCTTTAATAAACACAAAATACCATCCAGTGACTAAAACTAAATTTGGCTTTTAAATTTTGGCTACATTCACTTTAAACTTAAACTGTAAAGATATTTTATTGAGGAGTTGCTATTCAGTAAATAATTCTGGAATCTATAGAGCTGTTCTTTGAATAATCTTAATGGCTCCTGTATCATCGAAAACCAAACAAACAGAATTATGCCTAGTGGCTGAATAAATTGATTGTTTCTGAAGAGCTCCCAATAATTGCGAATTCCTGGAGAGAGGAGAACAGGATAGAATTAAAGTTAATTTGTGGCAATTTGAAAAACCTGGCTATTCTTTCTCCTTCTATCCCCCCAATAAATATAATTTTTTAAAAGTAAGACTCAATTTTATTTTAACAACTCAAGTATAGTCGAGGGGTGGGGCAGTGGGGTGGGTTGGGAAGCCCACAATCTAGAAAAGTTACTCTAAGTTACTATATTATTTCTTAAAACTACACCACTTTGCTCCTCTATATTGAAGGACTCCTATCATTTTGTTAACATAATGAATACCTGCGAACTTAGTCTGTGCAAGAATTGGAATTAAGAATATAAAATTTTGAAGACATGATTTGCTTGTTTTTATAAGCACATGTCCTAAGACACACAAGCTAGTCCCTATAAAATTTAGGAATCAATACTTTTTCCTGCTCAGAAAATAAACTGAAAAAAGTTCTTCATTTTCAAAATTATGAAATTTTGGAATTACGAAAAAAAAGCAATAATTTTACACGTTCAGCTCCTGTGGTTCCGCTGTAAATAAACAAACGTTTTACTGCATGTATTAGCACACATTCAAGAAATAAAGCAGAGATAAGCAGAAAACCAGATTTTAAACTCAAGGCCAGTTTGAAGAGTGCAGAGACGCTAAATCATTGTCACAAGTATTAGTTCCCATAGTTTATTAAAATAGTACTCCACAGTTATACAAAATACATGTCATATCCCCCTTTCTCCCACCCTCTCTCCTTCCCCCAAGGAAAGAAAAACTAGTAGTTGTTCATTAAAATAAAACCCTGAATGCTCAGTTGATTCCATGAAAATTGTTCTTATCCTTGGGCTATAAGAACACATCCAAGTAGTTCTGAGATTAAAAAAATAAAAACCAGGAACTACTTATTTTCCTGAGGGTATTTAACAAGAGAGCCTCTTATCCAGCAACAGGCAGTATCAACTGGAATTTACAAGCATCAATGTACATTTATCCTCAATATTGTGCCATATTAATACAATTTATACTCAATCATCTTCTTCTTCTTCATTCCTATTATGGAAATTCAACTGTGTTTGGCCTCTTTCAGGGTCTTGCATTCGGAGGATTCGAATATGAGAGCTCGTAGGCAGAGAACTAAAAATAAAGTATGCATCATTTAAATAGTGCACCTTCTCCACAAACTTATTGTTTCCATTTGATTCTTTCCATTACATATTGGCCTTAAAATTACTGCATCTATTTTCTTGGACCCTTTTAAAACAGTAGCATGGGATGAAGATCTGGCTTCACTGAACTGATACTGGAGCAAGACGAATGAAAGCTTCAGGTGACAGATCCTCAATGATACATCTCAATCCTTCAATTTTTAACAATTAGACTATGTTAGTTACAGAAAAGATACTTTTTAAGAGAAACTCCAATGTAAGTAACAATTAAATATGGTTCTTATTTGCCTTACAGATCCTGAAGGGGCACACACTTTATATACGTATAATTACTCTCATCATACTAAGAATGAAGTTACTAAACACATATTCTGGCTTCTCCAGTGATAGCTCCTACTATTTTATTGAATAGTTTGAGAAATTCCCTCAAAGCATTTCCATTAAGTAACATGTTGAACACCCCGCCCCCCACCCTCCAGCTATTAAGAAGGCAAGATAATTACAATAAATTAACCTAATTTTGAAGATTGCTTAAGATCTTTGTATATTTCGCAGGAGACAAGAAAAGAGAAGAGAGGAGAGAAGAGAAAATGTGATAAGAATTATCCTCTGCAGGCTTCACTGATTACTTCTGGCTTGTAGAGAAGAACTGGATGAATAAGGTTAGACAGTGACTGTCCCCTTAACTGGGCATGGCTTTACCATAGAATTATATGGAGGACTGTTGTTTGTTTGTTTGTTTTAAAAAGATCTGGGTGCTACAAAAACAAACAAACAAACAAAAAAAACACAACAGCAAGCTATCAGCTTGTAGATTTAAAAAAGTCAACTCAAGTAACATAAGCCTGTTAAAAGTACAGCAATACTAATAGGAAAATTAGACAAACACAGAATATTCTATCAGTTTTCTGATGGGAGACCAGGAGACCACCTGGCTTCATGCAAGGAATCATTTCAAAAAGCTCCTCTACTTTCGATAAAATGATTCAAGTTTCACTGAATTACCACATTACATATGGAAAAGTGGAAAATATTCTCCTAAGTTCTTAAAAACATCAGCAATGAACTGCTTAATTGTTAATGTTCTACCACTGAAAATCACAAAAATTCTCCTCAGATTTCCTTCTTTCAAGTGATACTCATTGCAATACAACTTTCATGTCCTACTTCTACTAGGAAATACAACACAACATTATTACCTCATGCTTTGTGGGGTGAGCAAAATGAACTGCCGATGACGCTGAGAGTCAGCCACCTTCAGAATCATATCCATTGCAATTCTTCTGTTAACCATGTCCTAAAGACATAATATTTATCAGTGAATACTGACTGTATACTTCACTGACTTCTTATTGCACAGATTAGGACAACTACCTAGTAATAAATAAATTAGGAAGTATCTTAATACTAAGACCTACCTAAAGTAATATATAGACGGTAAAGCTCAGATAAACAGAAACAACACTGGAGAAATACTAGGGTTAAATTCTAAAAGCTATGAAATAAAGTTTGGGAAATCTTAAAACTTTACTTTAATATACACACAAAATATCTATCTATCAGAACAATCTATCAGCTTCTATCAGAACAATCACACTCCTACTCACATTATTTTTCTACCAGCTTTTATATACACGTGTAATACTTCTTTATTGGTATGCTAAGATGAACTTTATTTTAGTTGAATAACATTTCTTATAAATTTCTGCCTCAAAATTATCTGAAAGGATTTAAGGGCTACATGAAACCTAAGTTACTTTGTAGCCAGATTATTTATTTATTTCTAAAAACATCCTTGCGTAGGCTTATTGAAAAATATGTATATTTTTCAATATGTGAGGATATGGTGAGCAGGGGTTAAATAACGCTCTGCTTCCACACCATCACACATGAATCTAGCTATCTCCCTTATAAAAAGGCTGATGGGGTCCTCTTGTGGTGGGTCTCCAGGATTACAGCAGAAGTAACTACAGATGTAATGTGGAAACAGTATGGTGTGCTTATTGGCACAGCAGTAGAAAAACAAGTGTTGAGGAATTATTTACAGAATAAAAGACATCTAAGTTCTCTGCAGGGCTACAGTTTTGACTATCCATCTTTTTCTGGACATATGAATAAACTTCAGTACAACTAATTTGTAAGATAAGACAAATTGAGTAAGATGATAAGATGAGAGCTTTTCAAGTTTGTTTGTGGAATCAATGATTACATCACTGATTCTATAACAGGGAAACCTCAGACATTTAACATCTGCTTGACCACCTTAGATGCAGATGTTCCTTCCTGGCATTCTTTATGTATAAAGTACACCACCTGTTTTTTTCTTTCTTCTAGGTCTTTGATTTCAGTAAATAAATCATTGATTTAATGTGTGAGGGACACTGAATCCAAAGAAAAAAAAAATCATCATCAACTACTGTCTTTGTCTCATGGAACTAGTTCTCCAGGGAAGTGATACACAAAGATGATGTGTATCACAAAGATCAGTTTTAGCTGCCATTAGTATTTCCTATTCGTTAATCTGAATTTCAGCATCTTGGAAAGTAGGTACAAAACAATTATCTGAGTACTGAATCAACTGCTATATCTGCACTGAAAAAATGTATATTTAACATTATATATATATATATACACACATATATATATTATGATATATATACACATATATGTATCATAAAGATGTAAATATGTATCATAGAAGCCAAGGCATGTGCTAAGCCAAGGACTGTCACACCATCATACAGAGGCAACCTCTGACAAAAACAGTAACTGCCCAGGGAAGTAAAAACCTTTATTTTATGATTTTTCAGCTGAACTGAGATTTGAACTTGCAGAGTAACATGATATTCCTAGTTCTTAGTGCCAATTATAAAACATTAAGCTTCAAAAAAAGTCACTAAGCTCAAAAAGTCACTAAACAAGACCCCTAATGAGCACTTCTGTTTAATATCACTAACTGTTACCTATAGTATTTTAAATTTCTAACCAACCACAGGTCACAAATCAACTATTTTGCTAATTTATACAAATCAGAATAGCAAATGTAGTTTGAACTATACCATGTAGACATCAAATTCATCCAAACATCTGAAAGGAGATTCAGTAATGGACCACAGAGAAAGAATGAAACAAACTGTTGAGAAGGAACGTTCACCTCCTGATAACGATCTCACATCGTTAAGAGCAGCTTTGTCTTCCTCTCCAGGCTGAACCTTGAAATAAAGATAATAAAATACTTTTTAAACTTGGAGACTTCCTAAAAAAAGAAAAAAAAGTTATTGGAACTGCAAACATGTTACATATGAACAGAGAGATCACTTGAGGAACAGCTTATGTACTTCACTGCCACTCTGGAAAGAATTCAGAATGAAATGGCTCCTAGCCATTTTTGAGATCACTGCAACTTTCTCCATCATAGTAAGATACACTGAACAGATTAAACAGATGACTCTGCCAATGTTTTCTTATTCAATTCTCTATTTTAATACCTATTAAACATATTAAATAACTGTCAACAAATGTAATTATATCACAGTAAAATCCAATAGCTACCAGTTGTAATAGAAAAGCAGGTAATTGATTCACAATAGTAGCTTAAAGGAGGAAGTTTACCAGAACAAGTGAATCGTTGTAAACAGTCACTCCCCTCCACTAATTATGATGACACCTTGTGGCACTCTCCATTTAGGATTAAGCTTCAGTATTTTCTTGTCTTGCTAATTATATTACTTTTAATGAACTAAGCAGGAAGATTTTTTTTCTTTTTAATCTTCCTTGACTATATTTAAATTTTATGCATGATAAACATGAAATATGAGTCACAAAAAACGTAAAAAGAAAGACAGGCAATAAACTGAATCCATAAAATATGAAGTTGAGTTTTTTGGGTATCTATCCTTCACCTGTTTAATGAAGAGCGTGTCAACAAGTATTTGTGTCATCACTACACATTTTCCTCCTCAAATCCTAAAAGCAAAGTCTCCCACAGAATAAATAAATAAATGTTCTGTGACTAAGACTTTCTGGGAAGCATGTTAAAAGATACAAACTTACAGAATACACAGAGAAAACATAATATGGAAGCCATCAACCACTTAAAGGCAGTAAGATGTTACACAATCATAAAAAGTAAATCTTCCTGTTATTCTATGTTATCTAGCAACATCCCCATTAAAGACAATGATACAGTTTGGCTTTATTCTTGTTTGTTTTCAACAGTGTGCTACAATTTGGCATACCACTTCTTGGAGAGGGGAGAACAATTCTATTCTTTGCAATACATGCTCTAGCAGCTGACACTAAAAGCAAACAAAAAACCACACTATTTTAACACGCATTATCATACTTCAAATAATATCAAATAACTTACTGTTATTGAAAGTGTCTCATTCTTGTGGTCGAAAAGTATTTTTCCACAGCAAGCTCGAATGCGTAATAAGTAGTCGAAGTACAGTTTGCATCGTAAAGAAAGGAGCCTTAAATCAGTTAAATCATGCAAACAAACATTAGCTCACCAAGTTTAAAGATACTTGAAAAAGTGACAGCAAATTTTTTAATCAACGGTTTCACATCATCATCTTTTTTTCCCCAAATCTCAAACAGTTAACATCGGAGAGAAATTAAAGACACAACATAACAAGTGTAGAAATCCAGAAATACAGAGATTATATTTTCTGTGAATTTAATCCCTGCTTCAATCGACTAGAAGCTTTTGACGTGCTTCTTTCGCAACTTCACCATGAAATAACCAGACTCCACTGCTATTTCCCTATCCACTGGTAGTGCTGCATTGTTACTATAGTGAAAAATTTACAAGGACTCTGCTAGACTCCAAGAATTAAACGTTGTTGATTCCCTCTGCACTCCCTTCCTTCCTCAATTCTAGTACATAATTCTCCAGCAGACAATACAACACTGTTCCTCCAAGAATTTACTATGGTTCTTTAGTACACATTAGAGTGGGACCATTCTATGATTCCATGATTCGTATTCAAATTCAAGCACTAGGAACAAGATTCAGTTTGACCCTTATAGGCCCCAAAAGGCAAGTACCAGATTCTGCCGGTACAAATTTATCAACTGGCATTTCTATACTTCCAACGCAAAAGATAGGATTCTTTTGATCATTATTATCTCTCAAGATTGTACTGGCAATCCCATCCAAATCCCAGACTGAAAAGTACAAGAAGCAGAACCAACACATATATCCCTCAATTTCTGCTGAAAAAAAAAAAAAAAAAAAAAAAAAAAAAAAAAAATAAAAAAATAAAATATGTATATATGTGTATATATATACATATACATATATAAAGGACAGTAAGGGACTGCAGCAAGAAAAGCAGTGCACTCCCAGTACAGACACTTTGTCAGACTGACAGCTGTGAAATAACAGGACCTGAATAAAAATCCTGAATGTTTTTTCAGCATAGGGCAGAGAAGGAGTGGCTGCCCACAATGAAGTTATGGGAGCATACCACTGATAACTAGACTTAATGAAAACGAATGATAGGCTGGATTATTTCAACGTTAGCATGTTGCTGATATTTTACTGTCCAAAATCAGTACTGAAACAGAACTGTCTTGGATTGAGCGTGCATTGCTGAGGCCTGTGGTGTGAAGAAAAATATTTGCAGCCTCAACTGATTCATGTTGTTTTTCCATCTGTCAGTCCAGGGAGACTCTAAATTGTCAGACATAATAATATTGATACTGAGAGCAAGATGAAGTTAAAAAACTATGCAAGGCAAAAGTAAGGCAAAGGACTAGTAGCTGTGCTGACACAATCACTAGAACTTTGAGAGTCATCAGCTGTGCACTGCCTCACCTCAGAAGTATTATGGGACCTGAAATAAAAAAGGTATCACTTTTGTCCCTGGTCTGTCCAATATCAGGTAATCTGTATGATCTGTCAAGTGTGTCAGAGCGCTCACTCACAGCTTCCTCAAACTGTCTCATACCTGCTGCCTTGTTTAAAGCAAGTATCTCTACTTTCAAGAATGTTAAAGAAAATCAAAAAAAGTACTGTCAAAATGAATCTCATGTATACCTAACCATGTGTGACATATCAGTCAGCCTGATATTTGAAAATTTCCAATGATAAGGATCTATAACTTTAGCATTAACATTTAGGCTCTGAAACAGGTTTAACTCTAAGACCATCACGAATACCATCTTTACAATACCTAATTCTCAAGGGTTTGCTCTGTAATTTACTCTGGAGTACAGGCAAAATTTACGTATCACCAGTTTATTTTGTTGGCCACAGAATGCAATCTCAGACAGCACTGAACCACACACCTCTGCCAGCAAGTCAGAAGAAAATACTTTGTAGCTGTTCAGCTCTTCATTCAAATTATAATAAATATAATCTTATGTGTGGAATAGTTGTTTGTTTATTTTCTAAAGACATTATTGAAGAAACACATACCTACATACTAATCATCTGAAATTACAGCATAATTAACTTACCTTAGGAACTGTCGATATATTCTGAATCTTTGTGTCATTATTTCTTCCAGCAGCATAATAAATCTCTTTAAGTTCTTTACTTTAATGTTTGCATCTTCGTATCTTTCCTTTGCATCAAGAAATTGTCTGTTTTAATTAACAGAAAGTCTAGCATTAGCATGCATTACATTAAAACCAAGCAATTGCTGAAGAAACAAACAAACAAACAAAAAAACATTCACACAAAAAAAAAAGTTTTGTGAGGCTCTAAGTTAAAGCTAAAAGCATTTCAGCATGTTAGGTAAGCTATCTTTCACGAATGAAAACAAGTCAAATTACTAAGGGTCCCTTCCAACTCAGGATATTCTACTACATTTTACCTCAGTTTGTTTTCCTTTTAAATGGAAGCTCTCGCACTAAGGAGAAATAGTGATTGGGCTCCCCATATCCACGAGGAATGATTTCTTAAAATTTTTTTCTTGAAATGCAGTCAAAACCTCAAGTAACTGCCTAAATTCTACATTAGCTACTCAAACTAGAAGCATGCTTAATGCTCAGTGCATCCCAGAGCAAGTGAGCTTTGTTCACACCACCTAGTCATAGCTGGGGTACCTCTAAATACTAAAAGAGCAAGTGTCTGATTATTAGTAACCTCAGAGTATCAACCCTGTGTAAGATCACTACAGGGGCAGTTCAACTCTCCTAAGACCATTCAGTAATGATTGGCTATACAATCATCACAGCACGTTTCTAAGTCTTCATACATCACTTAAGTATTAAATTCAGTGTAAGAAAACTGTTGTTTCCCCAGTCTCTTCCATCTTACCTGAACTAGACAGACATTAAAGATGACTTACTGTATTATTTCTTCTCTGTTCCCATGGTGATTTTTTTCTGAATTGATCCGCTCTCTTAAGCGATTCATTTCTGCATCCAGACTCTTAACAGTTCTGCTGACTTCTATGCGCTCTGCGTAGATTTGCCTAGCCTGGGCAGTTTTTTCCTACGGTAATGTTTGAAATTCAATTGTTACTTGTTGCAAAGACTAACAGACTTTTTAAACCAAGTATTTTGTCCTATGGAAAAAACCAAGACCTCTAAGAAAAAGCAAGTTTTCATATTGTTCTTTGTGTACAGTCATTACAGTAATTGTTATTGTCAACAACTTTACTCTAGATGTTCATATGTAGGTAGTTACTTCAGTGCTAAGAACTGTAACCATGTGAGAATTTTTCATATGTTCACAGTTCTTGATCTAATGCAGATAAATAAGGAACTAAATGTACTCTATTTCAACAGGGCCTAATCTTCCAGAAGTCTTCAGGAATGTGACCATAGAGTTCATCAGTAAAGCCAGATTAGTGAAGTATGCAAAAGATCAGGCATGTGATCTGTACGAGAAAAAAAGCTAGCATCCAAAAAGCAAAACAATACTATTCAATTTAACTTAAAATATGTATTTTAGGATTAAAGCATTCTAATCTTTGCATTGCATGAATGTAGAAAAATGAGTCCCAGGTGGATAACCATTAACTTATCTATCAAGACTGAGATGGTGCTCTGCCAGACAAGAGAGATCTTGATTCATTTATACAAAGTGAATTTTACTTGATTTAGACATGAACAGCTTAGAATACAGCTAAGAAAATACTCAGTTTAACTGGGCATTAACATGGTTTGTATGGTGTACAAGGAGAATGATTCATTACCAAGTTTTCAAAGGATCTTGACCATAAGCCTTCCATTAAAAATAAACAAACTTACCTCTAATTCTTTTTCTTTGGCAGCTAGTAATTCTTTATGTTTTTTTATGCAAGCCAAATGTTCTTTCTTTCTGTCTTCATAGTGCTGCCAACGACGTTTTCTGTTTTCCACCTCCGAGTCCGCTTTGCTTAATTCATCCTATTTTTGAATAACTCAAGATTTGAAAAGTATACTGTATAGGGTAGATTCCTAAGCATCTCTCAAATATGTACACACCTTTCACAGGTTATCAGGTTACCATGCTGTTTTGTTTATTTTATTTTTTGTCACAATAGTTAAATGTAACTAATATATTTTTCAGTTGCCATCCTTAACTATTTCCTTCCCATTTGCTCTTGCTTTCTTAATTCTAGCTGACTAAATATCAATACACAATTTATGTGAGGCATACAAGAGATTCCTACAGTGATAATTCTGACTTTTTCCTCATTCCATACAAGCTTCCTCATTCTACAACTTTAGAATACTGTTTATATGCTGGACTCTGTTATTTTCATTTTCAAACCATTAATTCTTGAAAGCATAAGATTATCAGGATTCTATTTGCCAATACCAAAATTTTGCATTTACCTTCAATTTGCTATTTATCTCAAGCCTTGTTAATTCTCTGTGATTTCCAGGTCTCTTTCATACAGAGCTATAAAATCTATTTTGTAAACTGACCAATTGTGCATATTCTTAGCCATGCCTTAGCAGAAACAAAAAAAAAAAAGCCAAAACAAAAGATATGATCCACTTAAAGAAGAATTTCAATTAAACCATTTTTCCTGCTTTTTCAATTCCTGACTAAAACCACTTGAAAACAAAATAACCTCTCTTTAAACCTGAAATATTACAGCAACTAAACTTAACTATCAACATTATCTTCAAAATACTGCCAAGCTTATTTCTTGACATAATTTGGAGGAAACGCCCTACTTCTATATTCATAGGCAGCTCTTAACTGTATTAGGAACAAACATTCTTTTCTCCTGCCTCCGTTTAACCTCATTCCTGTTGCCACACAAAGGGAACAAAAAATACAATATGGAGTTATCGGTACCTTAATTGGACCAGCAATTTCTTCTACTTGATGAATTTTTTCTTTTATTTCTTCAAATCTTTTTTCGGCCTCCTGGAGAATATTGTTCAGTTCTTCCATTCTTCTGCTTTGCTCCTGCATTTCTTTTTTTGCAGATTCCATCTTTTTTTTATTTTCTTCAGACACATCTTCCTGTCAAAATATTTTAAAACGAAGAGCGAAAGGAGTTCATATATTTGCACATTATGTGATTTTTATTTTATTATCATTACCAGGGCATAGGCAATACTCTAAGCTCTCTAATGAGAATAAAAACAGCTCAATGTAATTGCCATGAAGGCTCAAAAGAACAGACGGATAAATTATCTTGAAATCATATAGCAAAAGAAAATGTGGAACTTCTTTATCTGAGTGAAAATTAAGCTGACTTAATTTGGGAGTTGATGGCTAGGATTTTGTGAAGAATTAGCCATGCTAATGATTTACTACAGTAATTTACTAAACAAAGAATATTATGACTTCCTTCCGGATCTGTGACGGTGACGTACATTCCATATACAGAGGAATATAGGAAGAGGAAGTGGATTTTCACTGTTCCCTAGAAAATTATACCATTCCTAATTGATTACTACTATACATACTTTCTGCTCTGAAAAGACAAATGCTCCAAAACTTAAGAAAAAATGTGTAAGCAAAACCTTGTATTGTGCTAATATTCTTTTTCACTATCAGACAACTGGGAAATCAATGTAGGAATGAAAGAAATAAGTGAAAGAATAGCAAATACTACATAGAAGTGATCAGAAAGTGCAGAAAAAATACCAACGAAAATCAAAGAAAAGACTAAGGAGAAGTAAATATGTAAAACTACCAGCTGCATAAGACTATTGTCAGAAGGCAACAGTAAAAATTCTGTTGTTGAATAATTGTCTTTTTTTTTTTTCAATCACAAAAAATAAAAAGATACTCCCCTACAAAGAGATATGATCTTTTCAATTCCATTTAAAAGACAAACAATGTACATTTTCCTAAACCAACAAAATATTATTTGAAACAAAACATAAGAGTTCACAGAATCTGTATCTCCCAATCCTTTACTTTTTGGGTATGTTTTGAAGGGTTTACTCACATGAATATGTTCACTTGCTGAAAGACAACTTACTGTAAAGCTAAGAGGTTATGCAAGTTACCATCTCACTGATCCCATGGCATGGAATTTAACCAAAAGAATTGTAGTCAGCATTAACAGCATTTGTCAGACTGACTCTATGAATTAAGATCTTGATTGTTTGTAGACACTAGCTTATTACAGAGGAATAGCTAAAATTCCATGGCCACCAACAAAAATTATAATAGATTACTAAACATTTTTACTCTATTCTTAAATTACTAACTATATATTCTAAGAACATATGGATAAGCACTTTGTAGGAATCACAATAGTGCAATCCTTTCTTAGGATTTTAACTTTAAAACTGCATGATGAGTTTACTATAAACCAAGAAACTGTGGATACAGGACAGAGAAGCAGTGCTGTGACATAATTTGCGCTAAATAGTGATCTTCATCTATGCTTCTAAGATGCTAATTCTGTCCTTCAAACCTACATCACTGCTCCTCCCCTGCCCAGAGTTTTATGGCACTGCATATCTGGAATGATGAAAGAAAATGCACAGAACATCTCTTTATAACACCACCTTGCCTTCCATAACTCTGCAGTACCATTTGTTTGAAGAAGGTGATAAACAGAGGAAAATCCAAACAAACAAATGAACACTCACCAAAAATACTACCATTACAATAATTGCACACTTTCTCTCAAGTATAACATTTTTCACTATTTTATCCAACTTGTGCCCTGGATGGTAATCTACAGTATTTAGTTGTTTCTTATTTTAAATAATTATCAACATTCAAAGGCATTATTTCACATCCTTATTAGACGTAATTCAATAATTTTTTCTTACCAATATTCGGATGTCCACTGACTGGTTTTCTTCTGTATTCTCAAGATCTGCTATTTCTGCTTTTGTTGTTCTTATTTTTATCTGGAAAAAAATATATTAAGTTTACCTTACAAGAAAAGATCATATAAATTCATCGAAGTCAATACAGAAAGTAATATATTCTTTTAGCTTCATTACTGCCTACGGAAGAACATTCTTCCCAGTTACCTATGGAATCCATTTTAATAAGGCAGAACTTGCCCTGAAAGTAACATGCACTTAAAATCATTATTACTAAAAAAGCAGGAAAAAGAAACTTGTATCAAATTTTGCAGCAACTTCTTTCCAACTCCTTTCTTGCATCACAAAAAAGAAGTAGAGATTTCATTTGTGAGATTTAGTACAACTGAAAAAAAAAAAGATACTATACAGAATAACAGCAACATATGCCAGGATTGATATGACTTGAATCACTTTGTCCTAAACAATGAAAACATCCTCTAGATACTAGCACGCAGACCCTTGTGTTTTTGCACAAGCACCAAATGAACAAAGGTAAGCATAAATATTGAAAAACTATCACCCACTCAAATTATAGTATAGAATTCAAAGTGAAACAGGAAAAAAGTGATTAACACCTGAAGATTAACACAACACCTATTTTTACCTGTAGTTCTTTTTGGTGTTGTCGATGACGATGAAGATGATCTTCATTCCGCCTAATCTCATTTTGAATGGAATACAAATGTCGCTGACATGCTGTCAACTGTGCCTTCCTGTTTGCAACTTCACTCTCCAAATGACTTGGAAAAAAAAATGATACTGAGATATTATATACATACAAAAACACAGACATACACGTATAAGTTATTGAGTGACCAAAAAAAGTACATGGAGAAACAGGAGAGTAGTGGAGGGTGGAAGTTTCTCATGCACATACATCTAAATAGAAAAATATGCAATTCTACTATTCATGTCAGCAAATGCACATTTTAGAGAAACAATGTAAAAAGATGCTTACTTTATTTCTGCTTCAACATTTTTGCTGAGATACTTGGGTCTGCGGTAGTCAGAAGAATAGTATCGTCTATCAAATACTTGATCCCCTTCAACAGTGAAAGCTTCTCTACAATTTCTTGGAGGATTATTAGACTGCATTACTTCACGAGCTTTACGGCTACTCTGAAAAATACAATTGCCTTATCATACCTATAGAAAATCCACCATAATTACAGATATTACTTTAAAACTAATGTAGAAGTTCTCTCACTCAGAAATCATTTACATTTCTAATGAAAAATAAGAAACACAGTAATGAAAGAATAATTTTAGAGTATGTAGCATTAAGAAACTGCTTTTCTTTGTTGAATAAGTCATTTGCATTATTAAACAACCCACTTACTTTAGTTGCCATTTTCTTTTACTCTGGTACAAATTTCTCTAAATCGTAAATTCTGTACTCTAATCAATCCCTTATAATTTGCTCATAACATTAAATAAAGGCTGAGGAAATCTGCTGGTAAAAACTACTGTTAGAGGCCACAAGCATGGCCTCTGTCTGAGGAAATTAATGTTTATACAGCCAGATTTCAGATTCAGTTGAAGGTGTTCAGGTAGGTCTCTAAGGTGATAATATCATGAAGATCAGCAGTCGGTTAAAGCAGAAGAGGAAGAACAGAACTAGTATTTCTGCCAAAAGAAAAGGATGGGAAGATTCAGCCATTATGTATCCCATTCAGTAACAGCCACACATGCTAAACAGCCAGTCAGCTCTGGATTAGACAGAGCATAAGAAGTTTCTTCCAGTAGGAATGTCAGACTGGACATTGGGAAAAGTATTTGTTTGTTTTTTTTTTTTTTTTTTTAGAGAAGAAACAGTCCACAAAAATGCAAATGTCATTAGTTCTGCTGCTCATGAAATACCTTCCTTTAAGTAAATTTACGTTTAACACAAGGACAACCATACATCTTATTTTAATCTTTGAACAGTCTACTTATAATGTTATTTGCTGGAGTCTGTATCTTCAGTAGTAGCAGAAAATTAATTAAAATATACACTTTCTTTAACGTAAAAAAAGAAAGCCATGTGACAGCAGGAAACAGTTCATTAATATGCTTTTATCAAAAAACATAATCAAAATTACAAAATCTTAACACTAGTTGCAAGTTACCTCAATATAAAAGTCTTCATAACTTTTTTTCTTAAACCTGTCTAAACCATAAACTTATTTCTTTGCACCCTCTCATCTCAAATGTTTTAACAGTGCACAGACCGAACTGAAGTGGCTTTGGCTATTGTGGTAAGTAAAGAATAAGTTAGGCTGTGAACACTTTCATACAACAGAATTTCATGTAGGTGTAGGTGAATGAATGCCCAAAAAGGAGCTTTTGAACTCTCAAGCACAAGCCTGCTACTCACAAGGTACAACTGGCAGGGGATGGTTGTAAGTTTTGGTAACACAGAGATGACACAAAACTGACACATACGGAATCCATCAATTAGTAAAGAGCCAGCAATTAGGATGCTGATCAGAGGCACACAGACTGTTTAGACTGGAACACTAGAAATCTAGAAAGAAGGTCCATGATGGGTTGTCAGTTTACTCTGTCTCTCCCATGATAAAACATGGTGTTCCAAGTGTTCCAAAAAATCTGACAGTTTATTGAATGTCAAGAAAGCCTTTATGGGGAACCCTTCAGTGGAAAGGCATCGGTGTACGGACTGCATTGTTACACAGATAACTGTTGCAGTTATTGTCTTTACGGACCTCACCTCAGTGTCTGTAAGTTATGCTTCTGGGGATGAAAAAATAAAAAAACAACAAAAAGCAAAACCAGAAAGTCACCACACCTCTACCTGCCTGTCACAGACAAAAACCAGAGGAGGAACTGGATATAGACTATATAAAGAGACAATGCCTTTCTTTAGAGGCCAGTAGGGAGGGGAGAGCCTTACTTTAATCAGCAGGATTTTTTCTATACCCCTCATATCAATCAAACAGTTGGCAACCACTGGATCATCTATTTCCAATGCTGTAAGAACTGATGGGAATTCTGGATGGTGAACTCCTCTAAAAAAAAAAAAAAAAAAGTAACAACAACAAACAACAACATACACATGAAATTCTTTGAATCAAAATTATACATAGTTCTTTCAAATTGATAACAATTGATAACACTAACTACGTAACAAAATTCAAAATGTAACTTACCTGTGTCTAACATCATAAACTTTATCCTGAAATTTATTTACAATTATTGAAGGTCTAAGCCCACGTGGATAATGATTTGTCATCAGTTGCTGAAGAACTCTTTCATCACTGTGATTATCACAGCAAAATGCCTGAACTAAGCTCTTTAAACAAGATTCAATAGCCAAGGACAGTTCAGCATCTTTCGGATGAATGAAAGCACCTATACAAACAAACAAGACAAGGCTTTAGGAGCTTTGTTCCATAACATATACTTACATAATGCATTTTTACCGCTGTGTTTTTGTTTTCATTTCTTTCTTTCCTTTTTAAAGGGTCTGAAATAAACCTCTATTACAAGAAGGAAAAAAAAAAAAAGAGTTCACTAAAAAAGAAATGGCTCTACAACAGACAAGCTACCCTGACAACAGACATAAATTTGTCTTCCTAGAGGTCTGCGCTTTTTTTGTTTTTGTTGTTTTAAGTTCTTTGAGAGGCCACTAACTCCATTAAGATACTAATTTGAGGGCAGCAGAGCAAGTGTGTGTCATGGTAAAGACTACTTATTAACTGCTCCAAGGGTGAAGGCAAAGGAAAACTATGCTAAAAGTTAACATTGTATCACCTGCCATCAGTAGCAGTGTTCACACATCCCCACCCTGCAGTAAACACCTAGTTTTCCAAGTACCTACAAGGGTAGGTAAGATACACTGACAGCCACACATAGAACTGACTCTTTCAACTGTACTCCTTCAATAATTAAACTGAACAGTTTTTGTGTGTTTTTCTGTTGCTATTGTTGTTTAGTACACCAGGCAGGATTTTTTTCCTCCATTTCCCTAACTTTTATCAGACCTATGAACTAGAAAAACTGCTTTTCTAATAACTATTTATTTACTCTGTGCTTTTAAAAGGTCACTGCATTGCAACACATCACTGAAACACCCAATCCCCATCATTATCTTTAACTATTCCTCCATTGGTGAGTAAGAAGGTTTTGATGGATGAGACCTTCCTGCAACACACCTCACCAAGCAAGCAGCATCAAGACCTTACAACCAGACTTAACTCTCCCCTGGAATTCCTGTTAGCATGGTCGATCTAATCTAAGAGCAAAGTCCTCAGCTAAGCATCTCCCTACCTTATGATACTTGGCAAGCCCCTTCAAATGTCATAATTCCACTCAAAACTCTCCTGCTCTGCAACACCATTCTGAAATGTATTTTACAATATCTTCACAAAATAAACAATTGGAGAGTTGGCATGACAGCCAAAGAATTTTTTGATTTAAGATGTCTTCAGAAGAAAATTACCCAGACTCAAAGGGGAACAGCTCTAAGATAACAGCATAATCTCCCAAAGTCTCCAAACTTCTTCCCAGAAGTTCTAGAAATACTGCTAGTATCACACAGTTTAGCCAGATGCCCTTTCCTGAGTATAAGTGAGCCTTTCATGCTATCCAAATTTAAAAGCAGGAAACCTTTTAAACCCCCAAACTCATTTTTTTCCACAAATAGCCTGAAAGGATGAATTAAAACAAGATCAGTAACAAGCCATGAAACCAAGCCAAAGTTAAGAAGTTGTGTAGGAATTGGAGGGATAGCAAGTTTCACATTGTAACTGCATAAAATACCATAATAAAAACAGCTGCAAAATTAGGAAAGACAGATTTTACCTAAATAATATGATAAAAAGGACAGAAGCAAAAGATAGTCTACCAAAACAAAAATTTTAGTCCAGGAATTACAGAAGGTATATTTTGAACTGCCTCAATAACAAATAGCTTTTCTAAAAGTTCATTGTTGACAGCAGCAGCCATTCAAGTAAACCTGTAAAGAAATATTCCAAAAACTGTATTTTTAAGCTGTTATTCTTACCTAAAGGTCCAACAGGTTTGCGTTTAAAGTGTCCTTGCCTGTAGGCTGTTTCAACTGCTTCAAGAAATGATGGTACATGTTGCCCAAATCTTTTAAAGATATTTGTTTTACTATCTCTCAGCTCTCTCAGCTGTTTCTGCTTAGCATCCAATTCTTGTTTCATATCACCCTCTTCTCTCCTAAAAGAAGAGATTTTTTTTTCAGTAGCAGCAGCTTATGAAGTCTTAATTTTAGAGAAATAATTGTGGTCTTATTTTTTAAGTATTAATATAATAGGATATCATGAGAAGACCTCCATACATCAAAGTACAACTAGTTACAAACCCACAATTATTTTAGAGCTTTAAGAAACATGAGACAAAAAAATAAAAAAAACACAAGAAGATTCCACATTGCAACATAGCTTTACATGACTTTACCATGGTGAAAGGTACGAAGAGAAGAGCACAACACAGATAAAAATGCTAAAGCAGATGTAAAAACACCAAAATTATCTCAAGCAGTACAGAATGCTAGAGATACATATTGTTAAACAATTTTACTTCGTGAAAAAAAACAACCGAAGCAAAAAGCACAACAGCAAGACAATATTCTAAGATGAATTTTGTCTTACAGAAAGACACCTAACAAACTGTAAATTTGTATTGTGCATTATTTACACAGTAATACATGTTATAAACAAAAAATGACAACAAAGTAAAAGATCAATACTACTTTCTATTTTCATATTTCAATTTCACCCTCTTCTACAAAGGTCTTCAACAGAAGAAAGAAAATACTGTCTTTGATATTTGGTAAAAGATGTTTTGTTAATAACACATCATGTATAATGGGCAACAATTCTCAAATGTCTTTAAACAATAAATGGCAACATAACCATAACCCCCTCCGGTAACCACTGCTCAAGTTCAGGTTTCCAAATCACAGCATATAAATGCTTTGTTTTTCTAGTTCATTTATGAGTTAAATAGACATTTGAAGCAAGTGGTTTAAAGTCTCTATAAATTTACATGTAATTATAGATACAATAATTATCTTTAAGTGTATATAATTTGTTACATCATGTTGTAGATCTGATGACGTCATACCGGGATTTACTAGCATATAAAACATGAAAATAATGCAAATCATAGTCTTCCCATAAGGTGATGATACGAGAATAAGTGACAGACAATGGGAAGAAAGGAGGACATGAAATTGCAGCATAGATTTAAACCAGGATTTAAATTAGTATTACCTTTCATCTTTAATAACATAACGGTTTTGTTAATTCTCCAAAAGTTTCTGAATTTAGCCATACTCTGCGGAGAAAAGTTTAGCAATTCCTAAGATCAACTAGGAAGGAGAGGGAAACAACAAACAAAAGCAAATATAGAAACTGAAGCCTAATACTTGAATGCAAGAAAATGAAGGTATGTAAGAGACGATCTCTCATAATTTGAAGTAAAAAATAACAACTCTAACTTACCTAAGTTTAGCATCTTCTTCCTTATGTTTATAAATAGCCTGCTGAAACTGATCCATCTGTTGGCCAATCATCACTTCCTCATTATGAAACGCCTGTAACTTTTCCTTTAACTGTGCAATTTTCCTTTGTTTTTCCATCTTTTCAGGAACTGAAACCCTATTAGCACTAGAAGAGATCACACTTTAATATTTTAAAAACTGCATGATAATTTGTAGTGTTTACTTAAAACTTTTATCATTTTAACTAAAATTAGCAAAATACTACTTCTGATATGTACTTACAAACTTCTAGTACGTCACATATAGATCTATGAATCAAAAAAATGTATTTAAGATTCAGAGCATTCACAAGATCTACAAATCAGAGTGATCTTTTTCATTTTAAATTTGCAATCACACAATTCTCGCATTACATTCCTATAACAACTGTTTTAAAGAGTATTTGCTTTTGCAACACTGTATAAGCTAGAGAAATGTATACTGTCACCAAGGAAAAAGAAAAGCTTTTTTCTGCCCAATTGCCTCATGACCTTCCAGTCAAAATCTTGGCATACAAAGAAGCATGGCCAGAGACATTTAAATGTTTAATCTTCAGAAGGGTCTAGTTAAACAACTGTTTTCTGTTACTACAGATTTTCTCATTAATCAGAAGAACTCACTGTGTACATATCTATACAATAAATATACACCATAATCACTGTATCTGTATTTACCTGTTTTTCATTTCTTCAATTCGGTTACGCAGCTGTTCATCATCTTTTCCCAGACGTTTCAACTCAGTTTTGACACGGTTATAGAGTACCTGTGAAGGAAACAGGACATTATCTTAGCAGAAACAAGAATAATTTCAAGACAGAAATACAGTTTTGAGAAAGTAAACACTGAACTGCATCCGAACAAACAATTACTAATACTTCCAATAATAAAAAAATCAAATTAACTGTTATACCTTCTTTTTCACACTCTCTAATTATATGCTGACTGAAGCTGTCCATTGCTTAACACCTGTGTAAAGATATAAATTCTATGACCCTGAAGAAAAGCTACTTGCCAATCAATCACCTTTTTGAATTACACTGAGCTACACTACACATTCAGGAAGCTTAGACATAGAGAAGCATATATGGGTAGACAAGGAAGAGAATTAAGGCTTTAAATCAGTTTCAACATTGAAAGTTGCTTTGCCTACCTCAGCTTCATTAACTGCTTTTCTTCTTGCCTGCACATCAGCTTTTAATAAAATACACCGAGGTTGCAGGGTTTCTGCTTCTTCATTTATTGTTCCTAATTTCTCTTGTATTGTTTTGTACTTCTCCTCTGCTTCATTTAGTTTAACCTTTAAGACAAAAAGAAAATAATATGCAAGTAGTAATGTAACAAAATTTTCTGCAAAACCTCTTCATGCTACAGAGGAAGTATGACCTAAAAGAATCCATCTGCTGACACATCTCACAAGTCATTCACAATATGCAAAGAGGAAAATTAACATAGGAACAAACTCGGGAAACCAAAGACTATCAAATCTTTTTTTTTTTTTTTTTTTCTTACTTATGCTTTACTCAAAACACGGGACTCTAACTACAATAAGGCCAAATGGAGAGAGGTGAGACCAGTATCAAGACAATGTTTCTTCAATATTACACATACATGTTTGGCCATACAGTAAAAAAACACTTAAATTTTAAAACAAATATATACTTTTAGTTTTTTTTTTTTTTTTTTCCAATATTTAAAAAAAGTGCCAATTCAGAGAATTTGGAGAAGTTTCAAAAGACTGAAAAGTTTAAAATAACAGTGCCTAGTATTTCCCTGCAAATGATGCATGTCATTGCAATTCTGAATGTTTTGCAATATTATTCTTTTCTGCTATCTCCAGAAGCTCCAGAAGTTTTAAGTACCATCCAAATAGTCTGTTTAATTTCCAGATGTCTCCTGGAATCAGACATTCATCTTCAGTGCACTGAAAACTAAGGAAACCTAACATGACACATCTCTGAAGGATATTCTGCTGTTAAAAGGCACAGGCACTGAAGGAGTACTCTCAACAACGAAACAATTTAAGTTCACATTCATTGGGATAAGCAATGGTAGCCACCCAAAATTTACAGTAAAAGTAGTGTAATTATACCTAGATCTAAAGCATCAGCATGAAAACCACTCATATAAACCCCTATTAAAAAGCAGAAAACAAAGCGTCCTAGAATTTTTCTCCAATTGGATGTGGAATGCAAACATTACTGTTAAGTAAACATTTGCAGATGGTAAACACTAGTATCTGTAAGGCTACAGAGCCTTGAAAAAAGCCTAGAAAGTCAGTTTACAAGCTAAAGGAGAAGCATAGTTTTCAATATTATTTCTATTCTTAAGCCAAGAAAGCAAAACCAAAAATTGAAACATATTTTAAACTTTATATGTACCTGGCATTCCTCTAGCTTTTGATCAAACTTTTCTGTATTTCCTTCTTCAGCTCTGATGCCTTCTCTGATTGGCTGTATTTCTCTTTCCATCTCACCCACCTAAATATTAGCACATATCAGAATGTCTTCAGCAGTTTAGGAATAATTTAAAGTTGGTTTTATATGTGGAAACATTAGAACAAGGAACTTACCACAGCCCATGCCATTTTATGTTTCAACTCTTCAAGATGATTTCGCATTTCATTCACATACCCAATGCTTTTGTAACGTTCCTTTTTTTCATTATAAAGCTGCTTAAGCTCTTGAAGACGCTTTAAAAAAAAAGTTCAATTGTAGAAGCATAATGCTACAATGCAATATGAAATGTTGGAAAGATTTTTTTGAAACTAACTTTGACTAAGAACAAGTCAAAACTACATCGTTTTAACTATTAGCTATTTCAGTGCTCAAACCTGTGTTAATAATTACTGTGACTTTAACATACCTCTTCTCCTTGTTCTATCTGAAGACTTGTATTTTCTTTAGTTTTCATAATATATGAATAATCTTCTTTCATTTGCTCCAGCTGAGTCGCCTTCATAAAAAACTATAAAAGAATAAAAAGATGCAGATGTCAAATTTATTAGTTTACCTGAGTGAGCTTTATATAATTACCATGGGAAGACCACTCATCCCAACTGCTATGTACAATAACTGGTACATTAAGCAAAATAACTGGTGAGGTATTTTTGAATAATGAAGCAACTCAGCAGCATCCTAGAAAATTTAATAATTTGGTCAATACTTTTAGAAAAAAGAAACTTCAAATAACTGTTTCTGCAAGTGGATGACTGCTACAATCAGGTAATTAAAATCAAGAATTCTGAAAGGTTTTTTTTTTCCCCCCAAATGACAGCTCTAAAATTTTCAAACCTGTATTTTTTGTTTCAAATATTTCTCTTTATTTTCCTGGAGTGCATTGTGGTTTTTTTTTAATTACCTGAACCAAACTGACTAGAAGTTACCTTTTAACATTTAATCAATGTATTAAAAGATTTTTCTTACCTTATACTTGTCACCTTCATTTTTAGACTGTAAGAAGTGCTTACTCATCTCTTGAGTTAAAACAGACATGGGATTATCTACCTGTAATGTTAGATGCACTACTTTATTTTTATTTTATAGAAAAGAGGTACCATGTAACTGCGATTAGGGTTGGGATGGGAACCATATGCGCATGCACACACACACACACACAAAAAAACAAGCCACACTCCTAACACAAATTTGAATCACAAAAATGACTTTTAAGGAACTGTTTTCAGGGAAGAAAAACGTCTTCTGGAAAGTGCTTGTTTTATCTATTTATTTAACAAGATTAACATTGGGAATTTCATCCAATGCCATTTAATTTGTCTTTATTTAATTGCCCAAAGTACATCATTCAATTCAATGAACTGTCCAATATATTCTTCCAGAAGTTCCCACAACATAAAATCAATACATAGTAAATGAAGTTTATATTATTTGACAAGCTGAATATTTTGAATGTTTTATACTTGATGTACACTACCTAACCTTTCCTTAATCACATAGGCAGCAAAAAAATAAGAAATACATGTGAAAAAAGTCTACCACATTTCTGCAATAGAATAAGTTGAAAAAAATCATCAGGGGAAAAATAAATAAATAATAGGGTCCAGGTATGTAAGAAACCTACATAGGCTAAGAGTTTCATTAATATGATACATAACTCAGAGTTTGCAGATTACACCAAACATTTACTTGTCTGGTACAGAGTCTTATTCTGCACGATATGAGGTTCATAAAATTTTAATTTACTTTTGCCTTTGGGAGTGATCATGAAAGAACATGAAAAAGGTGAACTTTTCTTATTACACAAAATGAAGCATTGCATTTAAAGAATTATAAAATATATGTATTAATATCTTAAATTACACAGAATGTAAGCACTCCATCAATTACCTGTATGTTAAAGTGATCCAGTATTCCTAAGAGTTCCTCTTTCTTCGAAGAAACTACGGTCCCTGAGAGAGAGAATAACGATTGGTCCAAAGAAAAGAGACATGCAACCTTCCAATCTTTTGTTCAATCTAGTGCTTCTTACTGAAGATAAATGAGATTAGTATTTTTGTAGCATTGCTTTATTCCTAAACGAGATATAAATATATATATGTTTAATTTTTCCAATATGATATTTGCATTTGCACAGGAATTTGTACTTTTGGTTAAAGCCACTTCTTGCTTCAACTCCTCTGTGACAGAAATTAGGTAAATCAGACAATTCAACAGCAACAAAAAAAAACCTACATAAAACATAATGTTGTATGACCTCACATCATGCAGAACCTGACACAACTGCTTTTTACTTTCTAACATACGAAGGTCTAAGATGTTAACGTAAATGCAAAACTGCTGACCTTATAAGAAACAATCTGTCATTAACAACAAGGCATTTAAGACAATGAGAATACTTGAAGAGCTTTAAAGACTAACACCAACCAGATTTGCTTTTCAGTCTGTAACTTCTGCTTCCTTCCAGAGTAATGTGCTGATTCACTATAATAGAGTCACCATACACTTCTGGTTTAAATGCATCTCTACCTTGGTTTCGCAATGTTATTGAGATATCTGCAGAACTTTAAAAAAAAAAAAAAAAAAAAAACACACACACAAACCACCACAGGCAAACAGAAATTAGTTCCAAATAAAAAAAAAAATTAAAAAAACACAGAACATTCTAATTTTCCACAAAAATTGTCATGTCTTGTGTAGGTAGCAACTTAAAGTCAGTCATAGTACAAGTAAGAACAAAGCATACTGGTGCTGTTTGAGCCAAAACAGACATGTAGCCAGAAACATTGCTACACACTGTCCTTTTGCACCTTCAGATAAGTTAGGAGTCAAGAGCAAATAGTTGTGAGAGCAGATTCCCCCACCTTTCCTTCCCATCTGACTGCCTTCATGTTTAGGTTGCAGAATCAAGTTCCTTTTCGGTTCTTCTACTGTCCCCAGACTGGTTTCTGGGGTAAAAAGCTGTTTGGCTTCTGTAAGCCATGCCTAACAAAAGTAACCTATAATTCACTGCTGAAAGCATTCTTCTAGGAAAGAAATTATGTGGTTCCAATTCTGAATTCAGATTTTCTGGTTCTTAGGTGAATAATGCAAGTGTTATTATGTATAAGGCACATACTGCAAAAATTTGCAGTACCAGGCACCTCTAAAAGGAAAAGCTCTGGGTTAAGCACTATGTAAATGTAAGCTTTTAAACCTCCGCCCATCTTTTTTTGGTTCCCCTAAACATACTAACTCCACTCTTGCTGCAGACACAAATTCACTTCCTTCGCATTAAATAATCCACCTGCATGTCAAGGTCCTTGCACTCAAATCACAGGACTTATCACTATTCTGTGAGTAGTGAGGTTAACTCATTTCCTATGATTTTATGATTTTTTTTAAAAAGAACTCAAATCCTTCTGTAGGATATTCAAGTATGCCATGAAAGCAATATACAAGAACTAAGCAATAAGCAGCTCATTTTGCTATGTCTTAGCTAGTTCAGAGCTAGTGGCATTCTACTGGTAAATTTCTATTTATTTATTTTTAATATGGCAGTGTTATGCTTTGCTTTTTTTTTTCCATTATGAGTTAGACCCAGTTGGAAAACAGAGAGAATGAAGTTAACAAAAGGCTGATCAGCTAACCATAATCAAAAATCACTGAACTACATATCCCATCTTAAAACGAAGAAGTTTTACTTACGTTGCTCCGGTTTTTACAAACATTTTTAATGAGGAACCTCTGTTAGTAGCAGTGGCTTTCCCACCAAGTCCAACAATAAGAGCAGTTAATACAGAACTTTTTCCACCTGTAATAAAAGCATTGAAGGTTTTATTTTATTTCTTTTTTTAAAGTTCTTGTGACTTTTTATCCAATTCACTCACATTATAGATTTTCACAGATTCACAGAATTGTCTAGGTTGGAAGAGACCTCAAGATCATCAAGTCTAACCTCTGACCTATCACAAACAAGTCCTCCACTAAACCATATATTTATCACTAAGTTCAACATCTAAACGTCTTTTAAAGACCTCCAGGGATGATGGTGACTCCACCACTTCCCTGGGCAGCCCATTCCAATGCCTAACAACCTTTTTGGTAAAGAAGTTCTTCCTAATATCCAACCTAAAACACCTCTGGTTCAACTTTAGCCTCTTCCACCTCGTCCTGTCACCAGGCACGTGGGAGAATAGACCAACCCCCACCTCTCTACAGCCTCCTTTAAAGTATCTGTAGAGAGCAATAAGGTCGCCCCTGAGCCTCCTCTTCTCCAGGCTGAACAAGCGCAGCTCCCTCAGCCGCTCCTCATAAGACTTGTTCTCCAGACTCCTCACCAGCTTCATCACCCTTCTCTGGACTCACTCAAGCACCTCGATGTCCTTCTTGTAGCGAGGGGCCTAGAACTGAACACAGTACTTGAGGTGTGGCCTCACCAGAGCCGAGTACAGGGGGACAATCACTTCCCTAGCCCTGATGGCCACACTGCTTCTTAGACAAGCCAGGATGCTGTTGGCCTTCTTGGCCACCTGAGCACACTGCTGGCTCATATTCAGCCGACTATCAACCAATACTCCCAGGTCCTTCTCTGCCTGGCAGCTCTCCAACCACTCATCTCCCAGCCTGTAGCTCTGCTTGGGGTTGTTGTGCCCCAGGTGCAGGACCTGGCACTTGGCCTTGTTGAACTTCATGCAGTTGACCTCAGCCCATCGGTGCAGCCTATCCAGATCCTCCTGCAGAGCCTTCCTGCCCTCGAGCAGATCAACACACGCACCTAACTTGGTGTCATCTGCGAACTTACTGAGGGTGCACTTGATCCCCTCATCCAGATCATTGATAAAGATAAAAAGAGGACCAGCCCCAGCACCGAGCCCTGGGGAACGCCACTAGTGACTGGCCTCCAACTGGATTTGACTCCATTCACCACAACTCTTTGGGCCTGGCTATCCAGCCAGTGTTTATCTCAATGAAGTGTACGCCAGTCCAAGCCACAAGCAGACAGTTTCTTGAGGAGAATGCTGTGGGAAACAGTGTCAAAAGCCTTGCTGAAGTTAAGGTAAACCACATCCATAGCCTTGCCTTCATCCACCAATCGCGTCACTTTGTCATAGAAGGAGATTTGGTTTGTCAAGCAGGACATGTCTTTCATAAACCCATGCTGACAGGGTAGCCAGGTGATCAGGCCCAGTAAGTGCCGCATGATGACACTCAGGATAATCTGCTCCATGAGCTTCCCTGGCACTGAGGTCAAGCTGACAGGCCTATAGTTCCCCAGGTCTACCCTCCGGCCCTTCTTGTAGATGGGCGTCACGTTTGCTAGCCGCCAGTCAACTGGGACCTCCCCCGATAGCCAGGACTGCTGATAAATGATAGAAAGCAGCTTGGCCAGCTCCTCCGCCAGTTCTCTGGCAGTAGCCAGATTGAGCTCCAGATGAGCTTTGGCCTTTTTGCTTGACTGCTTATGTATTCAAGCACTTAAATTCCAATTTCTGTCAGATACATAAAATAGTCATAGCTGTGGAAATAAACAATTACCAAACAACAAACACACAAACAAACAAAAAAAAAACATTCATTCCTTGAGGTACCCCCCCCCTCAAATTCATTCTGAGCCAAACTTCTGTTACTATGCTTTAGCAATATGCATTCAACAAGATGTCCTTCCTCAGGAGGAAAAAAAACTCCCTTCCCCACAAGCATGCAGAAAACATTTATACAAGAGAAGAAATCAAATACATATTATCATTCAGTTAACTAAAAGGTTTTAAGCTCTATTTAAACACTTATATTTAATTTTTGAAATGTTCCCTCCAAAAGAAGTGAACTTGTGAAAAGAATCACATCCTTCTAAAACAGCTTCTACTTCACATAAACTTGGACAATTACTATGTATTTTAAAATGAACATATGAGTACTTGAAGTTTATATTTGAATTATACATAAATTCATATAATAAAATGTTTTGCACATTATCTTTTACAAACCTCTGAATTTAAAACTTCACTTTTTCATCAGCTCTGGACTACCGGCATAGACCCATGGGATTCCTGAGTCTAAAACTGAACCGATCTACATTCTTAGAACTGTTAGCTCACCTATGTATCTTTCTTTTTTTTCCAAATCAAAATTAGATGTTTTAAATTATTACCAAAAGCAGTCTTTTGGCATAGCAATGTTGCAATTAATACTTACTTCCATTGTTTCCAACAACAAAATTGAGATTTGATCCAAACTGAAAAGGTCCCAACATGGAATGGCACATAAAGTTCTTCAGCTGAATACTTTCAATTATCCCAACTTCCCCTACAGTCTAAATAGATATTATGTTATGTGTGCATTTTAATTAAATACATTTCATCTATATTAAATTTCATGAGAATTCAAATGACTATGATAAAAACCACAGGGACATCGGAAGGGTTTAATGATATTGTGAAAAGTTGCTTATTACATAAATTAAGATCAAAACAGTTACCCAAACTTAACTCTTAACAATGGCAAATTTCAGTTCCTGCCATAACTAACTTACAATTAATATAAAAGATCAAAATCATAATACAGACATTAGAGCAGTAAGTAAAGAGCACCATAGAGAGATTTCATTATTTAAACAACACTAAAAAGTCTTAGCATAACTTTGAAAAAGGGAAATAGAATTAAGTTAGGAAGGAGAAAATGAAACTAGAAATGAAAGGGACACCCCAATGTTCAACTCATACTATTTTGACAGGTAACTTTATCTGCAATGCTTCAGAAAAGCAATGCTTTCTAAGCAAACAAAGTTTTTTGGAAAAAAAAACTTTTTTTTTCCAATGACAAAATCCAATGACACAGAATAGGTACTGTTCAAGAAAATGAAGTGAGGAGTTATACCTCCGTGGATCATAAATCAACCCCAGTGATTATATATATATATAACATGTAACACTGTATTCACGTGCTCAAAAATTACTTTTTTAAGAGTCCAACATCAAATTAAAATTAAATTATTACAGAAAAAATGAAGAAAAGTATTCCTATTGTCACGTTTCACTTCTAAAACAAGCATTTCAAACATTTTTAATTGTCATTTCAAAGTGTCAGCTATACAAAAGAAAGCATCTAGTGCTTCTTTTAGTAAACCATTTGTTTTTCTAAATATTTTTTCTGCTTTTCCTACAGCCCTAAACCAAATATGCCATACTTCTATTAAACAAAATCTTTCAACTTTACTTGGTTGTCAACTTCAATAGCATTCATTCCATAAAACCAGAATACTGTTATTTTATGATCAACTGTCAAAACTACATGATCCACAAAAACATGGTAAGAATGAACTCTTTCAGAAGTTCTCATTACAGCCATTCTATTTTCTTTTAAATTGGTTCAGTTGAAGCCTACATACAAGACTTATTTCAACATCAACCAAAGATAGAGAATTTTATACACCAATTTTATTAGTTTTGGAATTTTTTTAAAACAACTTACCGACACAGAAGATAAATTACTATCAAATGAAAACAATAAGTTTTCTTCATCATTCAACCCATCACTGTGCTCATCTGTGAATTCTTGCCTCTGTCTTTTGTGGGATCTAGGCTTTGAAACACTTTCTTCCTTTCTCTTACCCATGAGTACTGAAAAAATAAAGTAATTATAGTGAGGATGTATCAAACTGTAGTCCAATATGTAGTACTGAATTTACTACTGAAACTCACAATCTGTATGTTACAAATATGCAGTACTGCAATGAGATTGAAACTTACAACCTGTTATATGAAAACATATCTACAGATAATACAGACTGCACTTATTTAATTAGATACAAGAAATTCAGTTGTTGCAGTACGATCAACACATTTTTCAATGAAATGATTTGCACAGCCAAAAAGAAAATGTATTAATTATACGTGGTTGAGAAATGTCTAGACAATATGTGGAATACATAAAGTCAAATAAAGGAAAATTTAGATTCATAGTGTTGCTCCCTTCCTGCTTCTGCGCACAGCCAACCTGCTTTTGTTAGACAATGTTTCGTGATCACAGTAAACAAAACACTGTCATTTTACTAATGAAGGACAACAGTTCTCTATATAGAAAACTTACCTATACATACATGCATATACATATAAATGCTTCCTCTACAAAGAGATAAGTAATCCACCTCACTAATATGACTAATAAGAAATAAATCTTGCAAAAGTAACAAAGTCTACTAAAGTTGCAGAGAAACAAAATAACAGGGGTCTAGGATAGTCAAAATTTCACATTTTCTGCAACAGTATCTTTAGGGTGTGGTTCTTATTCCCCCTAAAGTGCATATTACACACTTTATACCTAGAGTCCCAAAGTACCACACAAAACATAGACCACATTAGTTTTATCTACAGTAGAAACAAGGTCCTGTTCATACAAAGACAAAGACATTTCCCAGCAGTTAGGTCAGCTATTGATAAGTGTCCAGACCATGCTCAAACGGATATCCATTACATAATTTTTGAGTATCAAAATGTTTCCACAATTGAGCATGTTCTCCTGCTCATGCACTGTTGCTTCCTTCCAGCAAAAAAAAAAAAAAAAAGGCAGCCAAATTACACAAATCTCACCATGCAGAATTCAGAGGCACTAAATGCAATTAATGTCCCCAACTACAGAAAAATCACTGAATGGCCTAAGAGTAGGGTGAATTCATTAATAATGAAAAAACAAAAACAAAAACATGTGGGGTACCAAATCACTTCTTGTCACAGACATATTTGAAGTTAATGAGTGACAGTTTCCCTGTCCTAAATGACAGATGATATGACACAGGAAAGAAGACTGGTGGGTCAGCCCAGCAGTTCTTAACATGACCTCCCGGATCCTTCAGGGAAGACAACAATGTTCAACAGAAAGTTAGGCGGGCAGGCACAGTGGTTCCAGCCATGCAATGTATGGTCCCAGGGGACCCCTACTCAGTGAAAGCCCTCGGGCATGCCCAGAGCTTCTCCATGGTTCCTTCTCAAGGCTTGCCTGGGCTCTTGCTCCTGCAGTCTTCTATTCCAGGACTCTCCCCAGGATGCTCCACACCCTATCAGTTACAGGACATGGTAAAAGACCAGCTTGAATTCCTGGAGCACCTCATGACTGGCTGTCACCGTCACCGGCATTCAGCCAGTAGCAGGATAGCGATTTTCAGTAGCAGGATGGCAATTTTCAGGTTACTTAGGGGCACGTCATCTGTGGATAAACTAAGTCCAGCCAGCCCTCTCATCTGCCTCATCTCCCAGAGTTCAAGCAACTCTTTATGAAGCAGAATAATAAACTGACTGAAGGCACTGAAAATTGATGCAGAAAAAAAAATAATACATGGTTTTTTAAATTCCCAACCATTTCACCATACAAATTTGTATGTTTGGGTCAATGTGGAGATGGAGTGCTTCTTTTACTTGTGCCAGCTTAACGTTCCAGTCAAACTCTAGCCTCATTCCAACAGAAAAAAAAAGTTTGAAAAGCTCATACCATAAAGCAACAGAGACAATAAATACCATTTATTTTATCAAACACCACAGACATTAAAATTTGTTACATCACTAAAGACCACTGAATTTCTATTCTGGGTATTCTTTGGGTTTTATAAAACAGTACTTGACTATCTTCTCATTAATTGTCTTAGACAAAGCACACAAATAATAAGAAATAGTATACAACCCTTTCCCTCAAGTGCAAAAGATGAACTTCAAAGCAAAGGCAGACATGCAATAAGCTTCCCATCTTACCTTCTTGCAGTAATATCAGGGATGTCAGGTTAAGCTCTGGACTATTATAATGTTAATTAAATATTTACAGGGAATCTGCCGTTTCTATTTTATGTTATACAGTTTAAGACCATACACATAAAAACAAGCAAGCAAATATGCTTCATCATTCAGTTACATACCTTTTACTGTGCTACTTTCAGTTTCCTATATAACCATGTCATTATATTACTTGAATCAGGAAGGAGATGCTTGTATGCTCTTGGAATTTATCCATCACCCAAACATGAAGGTAGGCATTTGTTCAATTTGCTGTTCCACTGAAGTCTCACTCTACAAAGAAGAGAAAACACAAGACTTAAATGCTACAATTAATATTAACTAAAGAACAGGGCTATGAATTCCATTGCTATATCATTTGCACATCTAAGGAAAAGAGACTACAAGAACGGAAGACAAAATAGCCTAGAAGAAAACTCACTCATGTAATCTAAGCGTAAAAGTCAATAAGAGAACAGTTTTCACTCCAGAACTCTCAAAGAATTAGTACTTAAGATAAAACTTAACAGAAACTTAAACTATTGAAACAGCCTCTGAAATTGTTATTACAAGTACCAGAAGATGCAAGATCAACAGTGCGCATAAAAAAGCAGAAAGGCAGAAGAAATTGACCTCATCAACAAGGAGTCCACTAATCAGAATTCACAAGAAACTAAGCTTGAAAAGTTAAATACAAATACAAAAAGTTAGAACAAATAATTAGACACACACACACAAAACCCCCCACACGCAAGCAAGCAAGCAAACAAGAACACTGAAAATGACATATACTACACTCAAGCTTTACTTTTAGACCATCTTGGTGTTTCTGACAAAAAGAAGTTCCTTTTTTTACATTAATCACTTGTACCATGACACGCTGATTTTCTTCATTAACTTTTAAATTGAAAAAAATAATCACTCGTAGTGACACTTGCACTGCTTATCATGATTTTAACAGCAGCTTGGGAATAGGTCAAGGAAAGGAAAAGCTGCAGATGTGACCATTAAAATGTGCAAGTATCATACTGGAAACTATTAAACTGGCAAAAATAAAGATTAGTACAAGTATTTTAATGTATGCAATAGACTAATGGGGAGTTAACAATGAATACTATTGATAAACATTAACAGAAGTTTGTTTAATGGACTAGACATCGTATTTTTAAAATGAAGTCTAAATGTACAGTTATGTTGTAATATGAAATAGGATTATGTTAATGGAAACTTGCAATGACAAAGTCAGGAACATCAATAATGTGAGAACTAGACTGTCATTCAGAAAGGCAATAGAAAAGCGCTCATTTAATAAAAATGATCTTTACTAGCATGGAACGTAAGAACACAATTAGAAGTAAAACCCACAGCTATTAACTGTGAGTGAATAAGGGCAATACATATCCAATTACAAAAACATCACAAGATCACTACAAATCATAACAAACAATTTTCATGCACGTAATGAGAAAGTGAAAGGAAACCATCATTCCAAGATGCGCCACATGATACTGTCTAAAACTATTTTAGGACTATTACATGTTATAATAGAAAACTATTTACACTACTAACATCAAAGTATAGGAAGACAAGCTGCATGCACTGGAGGCAATATGCATCGCCCAGGGCATTGCCAGGGCAAACCCAGGGCATCCTATTTCCAGTTTCCATTGCAATGCAGTTCTAAATTTTTCTTCCTCTTTTCTTCCTTCCTCCCTGCCTAGCTGGTCACAGCTGGTATTGATAAATGAATGACATATTAATTCTGATAGATTCTAACAATAAAGGAAAGAAACATACACGGCCAAGAAAACCTTTATTTTTTTTTGGTACTAAAAGGGTATGAGATCTCTCAACACAGCCCTCTGGTGAGCCAGCTGCTCATGTTATCGGGCACACAAAGCCTGTACCACCCCACACAGACACTTAGCAAGCACCTGCCGGAGAAGCAGCAAGCAATGGCAGCTCTACCTCACCTATGGAGAGGAACAAAATCCCTCTGCTCTCAGCTCCCACACCACAGTTACTCCTTGTTTGTCCCAAAAGTTGCCCTGGACGACCTGAAAGGATGCAATCACCTCCCCGTTGCAAAGCTTATGTCGGTAGATGCACCGGACGAGAGAAACCTCACGTTAGTTTCATATCTGCCATAGCTAGGAAGAGAAGGAGGAGAAGCAAAAAGACGAGGGGAAGGATGAGGAAGAGTAGAAAAAGGAGGAGGAAGGCGCTCCCTGGTCAGTATCTCTCTCTCCCCCTGCCTTTATAATGCCGGATGCCTCGGGGCAAACCCCATACACTACCCCTGAGCAGCAGGCAGGCACCAGGGGGAAATTTCACCCAGCTCGACCGCCGCAGGGAGAAGTCAGAAACCAAAAAACCCACCCTTGGGCACATGAAAAAAAAAAAAAAAAAAAAAAAACAACACCCCTGGGCACTCACCCCGGGCAGGCTCAGCAAGGGCCCGGCCCTACTCTGCTGACAGCACAGCACTGCCGCCACCGGGACCCCTCACGCAGCCCCATAAAGACGAACCGTTCCTCACCCTACCTCTCCTCGATCCCACCGCCAACCGGTGGGGCCGTTACAAGCGGCTGAAAGCCGCACCCCCGCGGAGATTCCGAGCCCGTCACGGCGGGAGGCGGCCAGCTGGCTGCAACGGAAGAGCCGCCACGGGCGCGGCGCCTGCGCGCTCTCCCGACCGCCTCCCTGAGGGGGCCGTTTCCCGGCGCCCGCCATTTTCTCGAGGGCGGAGCTGCCCTCGGGGCGGGGGCGGCTGTCAGGGCTGAGGAGCAGCGTGAGGGAGAGCGGGTGGTGTTGGGGGGCCCTGGAGGTCCGAGCTGGGGAGGTAAATTTGTTTTAATTCCTGATTAGAGTTTGGTTGCGCTTTGCTCTGCCGCGTGGCAGGCGGCTGAGGAAGAGCCGAGCCTCTGTGGGGGCTCGGGTGGGAAGGGGCGTTGGGTCCCCTGCGGCCAGTGTGGGGCTGGGGCGTTAGGTTTGTAGGCGTGCAGTCATTTTATGCATCTTGTTATCGGGCAGGGAGGCCTCTGGAGAGGTCTCCTCGTTGTGAACAGGCAGTCGGGGAACTCCTCTCTTCTTTCAGGCGCTACTTCAGGATCCCGAGTTCGTACCGAGGCGGGAATTTTATGTTTGAACTGAAGGCGCATGTGCGTCTCGGTGCTCCGCTTTCATGCGACTTCTTGGGGGAAAAGCCTTAGGAAGTTTATCTCCAGCGATTTAGAAGTATGTGGGGAAAGAAGGAGGCTTGACATCCCTCCTTTGGAAGTTTCTCTTTTCTAGGAAGACTAGAAACCTGCTATGAATGAACTTCAAAATCTGAATAGGCAGATCACTCCTATTAGGAGTAGTAGGTCTGTCTTTATGCAGGATCCAGACGTAAATATTTTACAGAATACCCTCAGAAAGTAGAAACTGGATGTATGGGAGGTCTTACAGATTTTCATAATTCAAACCGAAATATATTTTGAATGTGAGTAAGGAAATGTTACTGAGGACAGGACAGGATTTTGTTGGGAAACAAAATAGGGAAAAAGTTATTTGATTGTTTTTTGTTTGTTTGTTTGTTTTGGTTTTAGTTTCAGATTTTTAAAACTATGTGTTGGTTTTTTTGTGTGCGTGTGTTTTTTTTTTTTTTGTATTAACTATTAATCTTATGAAACATTAAGTATTTGTAGTATGCTTCTCTTCCCTGTTAATTAGGTACCATGCAACATACCCTAAATTATGCCACGTATTTTCATGCTTTATTTATAATTTTAACACATTTCGTGTGCTTGAGGCATAACAACAAAATCCCTCAACGTTACTACATAATGTTCTGAGAGCATAAAACTAAAACCAGGTTGTGTGACTGAAGAAGTGGATTACAGAAACATATTTGTTGAAAGTAGATCTTTCCTTGAGAATGTGATTTAAAAACAACCTGGAATACCTGCAGCAGAAACGGTACATTATTGAATAGCAACCTTGCTTTAAAACAATTCTAAACTTCAAAAAAAGCACCGTACAAAGACAGACTTTTTGTTCAGACTGAAGGTGTGAATGTGAAAGATGCATAAATTTAATGTGGCCGTGTTCACGAGAAGCCACAAGGTGGCATAACTACTCGTGTCCTAAGCAGATCACAGAGTTCAACTAATCATGACTTCAAAGCTGTATGTTATTTGAGCGTGTAGTAGTTTCAAAATCAGGATGCAAGAAGTACAAAACATTCCAGATTTTATTTTTTATCTTCTAATATTGGAGGAAATGACAGAAAAGGAAATAAGCGTGAGGCAAACTTTGTATGGTAAGGCAATGTAGGTATAGATGGGTGTTGTGAGGGAAAAGCAACGTATGTGTTAAGAGTTGTTTATATAAAAGTGGCAAGGTATGAAAACCAGAATAAAAGGACTGTGAAGTAAAGGAAATCCAGTTATAGGTAGTGTGAGAACAGAGCTGCTTAAGTAAAGAAGAGATAAAGAAATATTCTTCCTAATGGGTGAGCTAGCATTCATTGTAAGTATCTTAGTGCCAGGCACACAGTACTGCAATTTAAAATAGTAAGAATAGGCACATTCGCACATTTCTGGAATCATGCTTTTAGAATTGCTGAAATATTTGTTGAAAGGGAATTCTGGAGGTCATCTTCTCTTGCAGAGAGGGAAGTTCTACCAATATTAGATTAAGCCACTAAGACTGTGTGCTGTCCAAATGTTGGAAACGGAGAAGGAAGATTCTGCAGCCTCTGTGGGCAACCAGTGCTGAAGTACCCACTGTCATTATTTCCTGATATTTAACTTCCTAAGCCACAACCTTGGCCATTAACCCTTGTAATATGATCTTGGACTAGCAAGGAGAGTTTGATTTTTGTCATTGTAAATATTCCTCTATCTACTGTTATATGCAAGTTACTGTAATACGATCTTTTTAAAATGAATCCTACAGCCTCAAATCAGAAAATAATGGCCTTATGGGGTGTGGATTTTGTTTTCTTTTTAAATAAGTCTTGGTTTCTAGCTGTGTAAGGGAAATATGAGACTTGGAAGCATGTTACGTTTTTTCAGCTGATTTTTATATATGTTCAGCCTATTAGCAATTAAAATGTACAATCCAAAGAAGGTATTTAGTGATAAACCACCTGTGAAATGGAGTCACTGCATATTTGGAATGCACGATCGCAAATGCTCTTGACTTATAAAAGCGAAACTGATAATGTCTGGTTATTTATTTTCTGAACTTAATGTTCATACTATGTCATTTCATATTATGTTTAAAAATATTTTATTTTGTTTAGTCTTCACAGCTAAAACGTTCACATTGACAACAAAGAAGGTGGAACAATGGGAGTGACTAATCTGTGGCAAATCCTTGAGCCTGTGAGACAACCTGTCAGCTTGAGCAGTCTTAAAGGAAAAACACTTGCTGTTGATTTAAGTTTGTGGGTTTGTGAAGCACAGACTGTTAAACAGATGATTGGAGTAGTTACTAAGCCACATTTGAGGTATGGTATCCATAGAAATTATTGTAGCCCAAAGTTTTGGAGCTATATAATTTAGTTTTGGTACTTCTAAACTTAAGACTACTTACCTCCAAAATTTATATGACTGTGTTTGTTTTCTGTTATTACTTGTGCTATGTTCATAAAGGGTTTGAAATGAAAGCATGGTCATACTGGTTGAACCCAACTTAGTGCTTAGGTGCAAACAGGAGAATTTCTTAGGCTCAGCATATCTTTTATTGAGGCCTTAACAGTAGGTAAGATTGAGATGGGTATAAGCAGAACTGTGCTGTGGTATAGCACTGTGCAATATGAAGATTATCAGGTGGCAAGCACAAATCAGTATGCTAATTCCCATATATTTCTGAGTATGTGTGTTGGAAGGTACTGTGGACTGCCTGTTTATGACAGCAGTTTGGAGGCTGGTAGATTCAGAACATAATGGGAGTCAGGCATGCTTTAGCCTGATGTGGTATACGAATTGAAATTTTAGTTAAACATATTTGAGTGGGAGGTCTGAATCAATCTTCAGGCTTATGAGCAACATTCAGGAATGTGTATATGTTTAATTTAAAGTAGCACATATAAGCAGCTATAACTTCAAAGCTTTCTGCAAATGATGCTGATAAAAATGAAATCATACATGTATTTTTTCTAAATGACCAGTTAGCTGGTTAGCTCAAAAATATTGAGTTAGTAGCTGTTAGATGTTTCTGTGGCTTCTGTTGAACTCTGTTAATGTGAAATATTAGCATCTTCTGAAAATCTTTTCTTAAAATATTATACTTAGGACCCCAGATTGATAACTGGGTAAAAGTTGAAGCTTAACATGAATTTTTCTCTATGATAAAAAGTCCTATGTGCAGTGAAATGCAAACATCAGTCTGGATCTCTTGTGTAGTCTTTCCAAAGCAAGACAAAGGAATGGACAGATTTCTACCAGGGGAAAAAAGATTTCATGCAGTTGGAGATCAAATTATTTTGCTAAGTATTCTAAAGAAACTTTTTTTGTAATCAATTGATTTCTTTTTCTTTTCATTTCTGAAAATAGAAATAGCCTCAAGAGATCAACTTATCCTCTTTTACCAATAACAAATATCAAAATTAAATCTAGAATAGTGGTCTCTCCTTGTAAATCGAAGAGAGATAAATGTTTGGTCACTTTCTTTGGAAGATTCATCCAGGAATTACTGGAAGAAGCATATGCCACCTGAGTACTCTGAATATCACTGTTTAGACCAAGTGGTTATTATTGCTTTTAAAACTGAAATTCTTCCCATCAGTGGTGCAGATTTGCACGTTAAATAAATTGGCATGGTAATGGTATCTATGTATCTAATATTAAAGCATTCATTTACTTCAGATGTGCAGGCATATCTGAAGTAAACTTTCAGGCTTAAAACAAAACAATGCGGATGTGTTTGAAAGCAGACTTAGGACTTTGAATATATTTTATTTAGCCTTCTCAACTTGTTTCTGTTTTTGTTCCGTAAAAAAAATCTATCTTGTCCTTAGGTGATATTTTTTCAGGTGTTTTGTAAAGCTGTTACAAGTCGCTAGTAAAACTATGTCAAGGAAATAGATAAAATCTGTTGGCTTTGGGGTAAGGGAGTCATAGAAGATGGAGAGGAAGCTAAGGTTGTTCCTGGGGCAGACTGAGGGACATAACAAAAATATCTGAAGTAATCAGGATTCCCTAATTCTACTTATGGAACACATTACTTTATTGCAGAAACCTATTTTTTCGGTTCTCTTTCTTAACGTCAATGGGAATTAAACTAGTGTTTGTCATGGAAGGAGAAGCCCCCAAGTTGAAAGCAAACACCATGAGTAAGAGGAATGAGATGCGCTATGGATCTTCCAAGAAGTGTGGGTTTGCAAGAACAGGGAGATCTCATTTTAAATCCGTGTTAAAAGAGGTGAGTAATCAAAGGGTATGTTTCAGTATTTTTTAAATTTGATAGAAAGAAACCTTAAATAATTCAAAGACAAGAACTCAATAGTTTTCTATGCAACAAATGTCAGCAATATTATGAGTTAGAGGGAACAAACCCTTTTGTAATTGGGCGTTACAGCATATGTTAATTTATTATAGTAGGGGGGGAAATGTCAGAATATTTTTCTTGTTTGATATGTTCTTTGTGTTATGCTACAGTGAGCTGCTGTCATAATCAAGTGCTTATTACAGA